AGTGTGTTCTCTCTCTCAGCCTGCCATAGAGGGGCTTCTGCCCACTAGTTCGTCCCCCATCCCTCGTACGTCTGGCTGCCTCCCACCAGCCTTTTGCAGCACCCGGGGGGAGGGGAGCTGTGTCTGTCTTCTGGAGGGAGGGGTTTTTGTTAAAATAAATCTGAAATCCTTCTTTGAAACTCAGCAAAATCCTGCCTCACCTTGTGTTCTCTCTCTCAGCCTGCCATAGAGGGGCTTCTGCCCACTAGTTCGTCCCCCATCCCTCGTACGTCTGGCTGCCTCCCACCAGCCTTTTGCAGCACCCGGGGGGAGGGGAGCTGTGTCTGTCTTCTGGAGGGAGGGGTTTTTGTTAAAATAAATCTGAAATCCTTCTTTGAAACTCAGCAAAATCCTGCCTCACCTGTGAGGGTCGGAGACCGCAAAAACTGAGGAAGGAATCTTTTCCCTCTCCATTCAAAGGAGACTGAGATTTGGGGCAGGTCTGAGCACAGCTAGAATCCATCCTGGCGAGTCCTGGGTGTAACAAAATAAAACGCTTCTGCGTATTTTGATTGTAGCAGCAGCCTCTCCGAACTAACTAGGTGCCATAGGACTACTCGTCTTTTTCAAAATAGTCTCGTTTGCTGTGTAGATTAATTTGTTCCATCTGCTTGTTACAGCAGTTGATAAAACCAAATGGAGATAAATATATTTTACAAAATACACTGTATGTAAAAAAAAATCACACTTTTAAACAAAAATTTTGTGACTGGCTAACTTTGCAGTGTCCTTCCTAAGAAAAATGCTACAAGCTATCAATTATAGAAGTATCTTAAGTATGTGAACAAAATAGAACATTTGCTATTTTCAAGATTTTCCTGTTTTGCCAGTTCCTAAACCTTTGACCTTTGTGGGTTTAAATTCAAAATAATTTGCATGGAATGAATTACTATTTTGCTCCTGAAGTAATTTTGCTCACCACAAAAGCTTATTCTTAAAACACCTGTATTTAATTATACCTTTTTAAAGCAGACTTTAAGATCAGCAATTAAATATCAGTAACTATTTTTCAGAATATAAATGTAAAGGCCTTCTGTATGAAATTTACTAAACACAAATGAACCATTAGTGAAATTATTGAGGTCTAAAGCAAGTAACTGTAAGTTGTCAGATCTTCTGGTTTTATCCCAAGTCTCTTTCTTTCATATATAAAATTTAATTTAAAAAGCCAGATCTTGTGGAACTATATGACTATGTGAGAATCTTAGCTGTAACATTTTTATCCTGAGTTTCTACCCTTCTTAGTTGTTGAGGAAAAAGTTAAAAATGTGAACTCTAAGTCCTTAAAGATAAGACAAATAAAATGAACCCAAATATATAATCTTAAAGCTAACCTCAGGTGTTGGGTGCCCAAAAATTATGATTTTAGTGTGTGCAGTTGGCTGTACTGATATACTTATTTTTAGAGTGGCCTGGAGAGAATGAACTAGTAATGTTTGTAAACTACATTGAAGTTTTTAAAATCAAGAGAATGCTATAATTATACTCTTGAACATGTTTGGTTCCTGTTTTATTTAATCTGCCTACCAGCTGTTTGTTTTCTGGTCATATCACTATTACATTGCTGATGGTTTCAAAGAAACACAGTCAGTATGTTAGAGCTCTGTTTACCTCTTTAAAGGTTCATAGACTTTAAGGTCAGAAGGGACCATTATGATCATCTAGTCTGACCCCCTGCACAGTGCAGGCCACAGAATCTCAACCACCCCTCTTAGAATAATCCTCATACCTATTTGCAGGTATGTGGCAAATCTTCTTTAGAAAAGCTTGGCAAAATGGCCATAAAAATATACTAGCTCAAGTAAAAAAAAAATTGCTAATCTATTCTGTGAGACATTTAAGGATGTTAAGAAGCAGGTAATTGACTAAATGTGTAGCCAATACAAATTGTATCAACTACATGATTAGTTGATAAGGGAAAGTGCTTGGACCCCGTATGAGCTGGGACAGAGCAATCCCAGCTGCATCTCTGCAATGTAAATTTAGTAGGAACTGGGCACACTGGTGGGGTTAGCTCCTGGAGCCAGCACAAGCTGGGTCTGTGCAGTCCTGGCTTGTGCTAGCTCCAGGACTGTTGTGGCTCTGTATTTTAAATGTAATAAGAGCCACTTGGCTCTTCTTATGTTTAAAATGCAAAGCCACAGCGGGAGTAGCTCCCGGAGCTGGTGTGAGCCACGACTGAGTAGTCCCAGCTTGCACAGGCCCCAGGACTGCTGGGGCTCTGCTTCCCTTCCCTCCCCTCCCCCCGCACCTGCTGCCCACCATGCACCGGAGAGATGATGCTGGGGGGAATCGGCTTTTAAGCTGGCTTTCCCCAGCACCAGCTTGCTTCCCACCGCTCTTGCTGCCTCTGATACAGAAGCAGCTGGGGCAAGGGGGAGTGACTAGTCGCTTGCATCCCTAGTGACAATTATAATAATCAGGGCTGCGAGTAGATTACAAACCGGAAGAGACGGGTTCGGGCGATCTGCGCATGCGCAGAACACTGGACAGTGTGGCTGGCAAACGGGGCTCGCCGTGGCTCAGCGAGCCCTGATAATAATGATAAAGAATACAACCAATATTTTACTGGTCTGTCAAAATTTCCCAAAGTGAGTAGAATTTTAGAAATTTGCCTTTGTGGCAGTCACTCTGCTTATTTGTTGTCATTCATTTCTTTAGCAATTTTGGCAAAACATCCGCAATAAGGTTGTTCCTTCTGAGATCCTGAAATTATTTAATTAAATGGAGTACTCTTCTTAAAAAAAAAAAAAAAACCCTCAAGAATTAAAGGATATTATTCATAGGTTTAAATTAGGGATGTGAATATGTAACTGTGTACCTGGTTAACCGATGAGCCTGGGCTCATCGGTTAATGTTCACGGTTACACGCAGGCTCCCAGTATGTGTGGGGAGTTGGCTTAAAAGCTGACTCTGGGTGTGCTGCCTCCTGGGGTATGTGTGGGGAGCTGGCTTAAAAGCTGACTCTGGGTGAGCTGCCTCTCCCTCTCCTCTCCTGCTGCTGCCTCTGACACAGAGGTAGCAGCATGGGCGGGGAGTAGGTGGGAGCTGATATGTGTGGGGAGACAATTTAAAAGCCGTCTCCCCACGCACACCATTTCCCCAGGAGCTGACTGCTGCCCCGCCTGTAACTGCTGAAATTTTCAGATGTTACATGATTATTTCATTACACGCATTTAACATTCCTAGTTTAAATTTATAAAATCTGGGTTCATATTTATAATTCATTTTTTTGGCATTGACATCCTTCATACTTTGTGGTCTATCTGGTTTTTCAGGTTAAAGATGTTGCTTTGGTAAAAAGCTGCCTATATGTTGCCTAATAGAAAAAGCTTGTGTGCTCTTTTGTGCAAGCTTGATAGAAGCTAGTTTATCAACTTGAAGTAAAACAATGCTTTGTAAAGCTTGTAGTTTAAAGGTGAAGTACATGTGACAAGTGTGGTTGATTGAACTAACACAGATACTTTGAAATCTTAATATATATATTTTCAAAGTGTAATGTGCTAAAAGTCCAGCATACAGTATGATACTAAAATCTAGGAAATCTGGTTATGGACCTGTATAAAGTTT